ATTAATTGATAAATTGATTAAAAAAATATATTTTTCATAATTAAAAAACCCAAAAAAGTGTATAAAAAATTAAGGGACCAAAACTATTTAAAACCTTAAATTTAAGGGACCAAATTGGCATCGCCCTTCCCTCACCACACGGTTATGTAGAAATTAATTATAGTAGTTTCAGTATATTTTTTTTAATATTTGATAATGGATTATTATATAAAACAAGATAGCTCTTTCTTTTCTTTTTTTTGTAAATTTAAATTATGATTCAAGTATTGTTTTAAATTATGTGAAAAAAATAAACAACTTATATTTTGAAAAGAAAGGAAGTAACCAAAGAAGTATCTGAACTATCATGATAATACATGCTACAACTTAGGGAAAAAAAATTTCGATTACTAGCCCGAAGTCTCACTCATAATTCTTTTTTTTTTAATTCTTTTAGATATTAATTGCATAACAGAAGATAACTTTTTTCTATTCCATACGTTATTTGACTCATATAATATGCAACTCAAACTCAAATATCTTATTTAAAAAAAAAAATTATTACTGAATTATTTAAATTGTTGATCATTCACAATTCTTTATCGAGATAAAAGTAATCTACATTTTTGCTAATAAACAAAACCCACCTGCATCATTCACTAAACACACTTTTTTTTTTATTTGAACAATTAAGATGTTGTTAAATCATTTTTTATATATTTTGAGACTAATTTCTTCCATCAATATCTTTAAAAACGTCTTATATTAACTAATTATATTTATAAAAATTAATTTTTTTAAATTCTGATCTCCAAACTAATTAAATTCTAAATCTAATTTGTGAAACAACAGTTATTTATTATTGGATTTAACTTGGCTGGATACCAAACAGAGTCTTATTATTAGTATTTACATGATTGAGCAGCCTGGTTGAGTTTCTCCACAACCGCTCCAGCCGTCGCAAACGGGTCTCCCATAACACAGAACGCATTGGACTTGCCCGCCACAGTAACATGGGCCCCAAGGCCATCCGCTACAGCATTTACAATAACAAAACGCCTGGACTTGCAGATCTACAGATACTTTCACGTGCTTTTCCTGAGGCTGAGGCGGAGGCGGCTTTGGCTTTACGATCTGGATGCTCTTGATGCATCCACCACCCTTGCAGCATAACTTGTCCCTCATCTTCTCCGGTGAGCAGCACACCACCTTAATTGTCACCTTGTTTGCCTT